TTCCGATATCGCAGACTAATTAGCAACTCGTTCTCCGGATAGCCACTAAATGTTTTAAAACACATTTATTTTAAGAAATTGTTCTACACTCTCTCCAATATGAGCTGGTGGAAGGTCAAATATAGATACCAGATGAGAGAACTGTACTCCACGTTTATTCAAACAAATTTTTGTGAATTAGGTCTAACCCTAAAGTTGGGCCCGATTAATTTGGAGTTGTGTTGACATGCTTGGAGCCTATGTTGGCTTGCTATCGTTTAAACATTAAATAAAAATGTGTTGGGTTTTGGTTTTTTTAGTGTTGCATTGCTTTGGGGTTTGATTGGATTCCTTTGGAGTGTGGTTAGTTTATTATTGATGTATTTGTGTGCATTGTGTTATGATTACTTCAGATTGAATTTGTATAATTTTATGATTTACTTTCATAAGTTCTTTAGGATTAGAATGGCAAACTCTGAAGGTGTATTAGTTAAGTTGAATGAAGACTTTGAGATTTGTTTGGTTTGAAGATGAATGAGTTGCGGTTCACTTGCTTTAAGATTTGGTTGGCTACTATAGGCAACTATGTGTTAGTAGAGGTCTGAACTTCTACTACTTAACTAACAGTTATCCCTTACTATATGACGACAAAGCGACTGTACCTACTTTTATCGAGAATGAGGAGAGGCTGATTGGTCAAAATGACTTCGGAAGGAATTCACGCCATCTTCTCGATACATAGCGAACTGACAGGCATCCCTAGAATAGGCTCGTTAGGTCAGGAAATGGAATTTTGAACTTCGTTTTAATAAAGCTGCTTGTATATTTAATTTTGGAGATATATACCATTAAAAGGTGTTAAAATTGGCAAATTTCGCACATTTGTACAAAGATTGATTTTCTTTAAATGAATTCATTAATTCTTAAAAATTGTTTAATTGGTACTAACAAAAAATTTAATTCAAAATTTGAAAAATTGTGATTAATTGGTAGCAATTTATAGTTAATTGAATAGTTAAGGTGTAACTATACTAATTTTTAACTTTCTAACTGTTTTCATTAAAAGATTAGAATTTACACTATGACTATACTTAAATGGTTGGTAAATGAGTCTCGGAGGCAGACCAGCGTATCGATCTCTGATCTGCACTAAAACATTGAGTTACACCTATAGTCCACCCAAGACGTACCATCAAATCCTACTTATCCGTTCCCGTCATATAGTACAGGCAATGCAGTACGTACACTACGTAATGGAGTAAAACTGGAATTTATCAGGTGGGGTTCAGCGTGGGATTAACAGCTTCATCTTATAAAAAAAAGTAATGTTACGAAAAGCAGGCAGACGATCAAACAAACGGAACATGGAACATTAGACACTTTATAGACTGGGTGTCCTGCGAAGTCTTCTAAACACTCTTGACTATTATAACATCGACATCACTGTATTAGAAGGAATAAGATGCAAAGGGACGGGTATAATAGAGACAAAGAACTATACAGTCTTCTATAACTGCTAGAAAGAGTGGGATGCTGTCATTAGTTTCGAACTAATAAACGTTAGAGTTTGCAAACCACGAATAAAGAAAGGTTATTCAACTGCAGTACAATCAATTGCAACGCCCAAACCGAGAGAAAAAAGAGCTGAAAATAGAAATGGTTAAAGAAAAAAGAGCTGAAAATAATAAGTTTTATGAGGAGCATGCCAAACAATACCTAAGGCATGACATAAAAATCATAACACGGGCAAAGACATGACGAGACTGGGAATTTAGACAAACCACGGGAAATGTAGAGTTTCCACCAAGAGAGCAATAACAATGGAGTAAACCTCATAAATCTAGCAGCATCTCTGAATATGACTTCATTAAGCATCTGCTTCCAAAGAAAAGAGTTATAAAGCCACCTGATCACGTGACGCTCAAATACAAAAACAAGTAGATCATATAATAATTGATATGAGACACGCTGATATTAACTGCAAAAGTTATCTGGGCACCAATATAGACTCCGACCATTACTTGATAATTGCTTCAATGAGCACGTATGTCAAACGCAAGGAAGAAGAAATCACAAAGAGCTCACAAACTTACTATTCAACGATTAAAGGATGAGCAAACCGCAGTAAGATTTGCTATAAAACTGAATACTGTAGACTGGCTCCTCCAGAGTGAACGACATCTGGACAAGAATTCAGAATACAACTAGACAAGTGGCTCAAGTGACTTTCGGCACAGAAAAAACCGCCAAGCGTAGTGGCTATTGCAGTGAAGTATGTAAAAAAGCCATAGAAATACAGAATAATAGCATATTTAGTGAACAAGAGCATATTTTGAAAACAAGAAAAACGGATACATAAATGAAAAAAAAACAGGAATACGTGAACAATCAAATGCAGAATATCAAATAGCATAACAAAGAACATGACCACAAAAGATTTTACAAAAAGTGAATATCGACAGAAATGAAATAAGACTGGAACATTATTGCGCGATAAGGAGGATGTACTCAACAGATGCGCATAACATTTTGAGATCAACCTTAACCAAAATATAGGAAACGTAGGAAATGCACATAAAACACTATATTGAAGAAAGGGTACTAAGAACAACCGAAGAATAAACAACAATAATTGAGAAAGTGGAAGATGCAATAAAAAATTAGTCACTAACTTATAACAAAAATTTAAAAAACAAAAACAACTGCCGAGCGAATGGAATAACATACTTATACGCCTTATCCATAGAAAGTACAACATCCTAAAATGTGGAAATTACACGGGAATATACTTGATAAATACTACCATTAAGGTATTTTCACTAATCCTATATGCTCAATTACTACTATACACACAAAATATGATAGGAGAATACCAGGTTCCCGTCTGGTATTTTGAAAGAAGAAATCGACAACAGATCACGTTTTCAAACAATAGAGTACAACATCCACACGCATCATATGTTCGTTGATTTCAAAGCAACGTATGACTCCATAAAGAAATCTTGCTACACTCACAATGAGTAGAATAACATGTAGAGTAAAAATTGGTCAAGATATGTCTAGAGAATTGGACGTACACCAGGGCATAAGAAAGGGGAATGCACTGTATACTTTTTGTGTACTTTTCAACCTAACACTCGATAAGGTTATTCAAAGCACCGTCTGGCATAACAAGGTCTGGCACAATTTTTAACAGAAGTGTACAAGTTCTGGCATTGCAGATAATCTGGCCATCATGGGCAGAACAGTAAGAGATGCCATAGAGGTCTTTATAAGTCTAAAAAGGGCTGAAAAACATGGGGCTACATATAAACGAACAAGAAACGAAATACATGATAATAAAAAGAAACACCCCAGAAATTCAAACAGTACTTGGGGATCGAACAACGAAATCTAGAACATGCAAATGAATTTATTAATTATTAATTCCACAAAGGAAATTAAAGTATATAAGACAATTAAAAGACTGTTCCTAACATACAGAAATCTGGAGTCTAACAAAAAAGGGTAAAAGAATATTGTCATGTTTTAACAGAAAGGTCCTCTGGAGAGGAAATAATATATGGAGAATCCTTTTTAACCACGACTCCTACCAGCAATATAAAGAATAAAATATTGTTAACTACGTCAAGGTATGCCGACTGAGATAGGTGGGACATGTTTGGAGAGTAAGCGAACACGAAATAGCAAAACAAATAGTAACAGAAATACCACAGTGACAGTGAAAAAGGTAAGGCCAAAATTACGCTATATGGACGATGTACAAAAAGAATCTAAGAAGATGTAAAGCTGTTGATTGGGATTTTTGAACGCCCTTAAGACCAAGGCCCACACAGGGTTGTAACGCAAGGGGATGATAATAACCACAATTTCTAAGGTGGTAAACATTTTTTCCCCAAAATCAATTAATTTCATATAAAACAGGGAGTATCGGGTATGAATCACCCTATACATAAAATGTTTAAAACATATTTTATGCTATCTCTAAAAATATATACCAACACTTTTTTTTTATTTGTATATATTTCTTTATTTATTTCATCCGTTATAACAATCATCAGTCAAACCGATAAGAGTCCGCATACTATATTCTATATACAGCATTAATCAACGAGATTCATATCGTCACGAACTGGTTGTTGGGTCTCGTAGCAATACCGAAGGCTCCCTCCATTTAATATGCGTAGTCATTTCGTTTAATATAAGTAACTCATTATCGATAAGTGCACGAATTAAGAGACCGTGTGTTTCCTGGCTGCTTCGTAACGATTTTAATTTGTTCCATTTATTCTTTAATCGGAAATCTTTAAATTGATATCGTTCCGTTCGAACGACGAGTTGGAACGCGATGGAAACTCATTAACCCGGGTAATTAAAGAAAGGGACAATTATTTATTTCTCGTGTGCAAATTAAATTTTGTTTAGAGGAAAAAGGAACAGGTTTCGTCGAATCGTTCCGGCGCTATTTTTTAATATTCTTTTTTAATTTCTTTTTTTTCTGGGTTATTAAGAGGGTGGTTTTTTGAAATAACGGGCAAGTCTTAAATTAAAAACGTTAAAAGGGATTTAGGATTCGTTCGCGTTTCCATCGGAGACCGCGAGAGACCGTTGCAATATCTTTCGTTCTTTATGCCATTTTGGCAATTAAAGCGCCCTTTCGAAATTGAACAAGGGTCGGGCTCGGACCCCATCAAACCTGGATATGAACCATATTAAAAACTCCAATCTGACCGTAGAATCGCCGTTTTATGACGGCTATTTAACGCACGAGAACATTTGGGACTCCATGCGTTCGTTCTTTATTACCTCATCCTATTTTTAATACAATTTTGTAAAAATTTCAATTTCATCAGATTAATAAATAAAACAAATGTTGTTAATGTTTAAAATTATTTTTTTATTGATTTTTTTAAACCATGTCTTGACAATCGTAAAGTTTCACACATCGAATAGAGGTTTGCGAATTAAATCGCTCGTGGAAATATTTTTTTTGAGCAATTTTTTTCAACATTGAGAGTGTTTCTAAATTATTAAATGAGTTCCACGAGCGATTATTTTATTTCTTTTATTATGATTGTACGGGATTGAATGTTAAAAAGTTATACGCGCTGATGATAACCAGAGAAAAATTTGTAACAATTATCTCTATAATTAATAATAGAGTAACAACATGGATTTGAGTAACAGAAAAGATGCGGTTCAGTTTAGTTACTATTTTATACTATATCGACAGAAATTTCACAGTAAATGACAAATTATGATGTCGTTTAATAATAATTAATTAATAATAATAAAGTTATTATAATAATTGAACCATTTTCTTAATCTTGAATATTATACATAATAATATTTACAAAATATTTACAGCCACAACTCATTTTCTTTTAATTTAATTTTTATTTAATAATTATTAAAACTTCCGACGTCACCCCGATTGTCTCTTACTTTTTTTTTCGCTTCTCTTTGGACCACAGTGTTTCACGTAATTTTTTTACAAAAACGAAATTAAATTTTTTTCGCGTCACAGAAAAATAGAATTTACACTTTTACTTTTACCCCGTTTTTAAATTCAAGTTTCTCTCACATTTTTATTCGTTGTCCTACGAATACCTGACTCTCATCGATTATAAATTGATTTTTCTTATTCTATTGGCGAAGATTCGCCGACCAATAATCGCAGAATCTTGGTAGATGGTAAAGACCGGTCGTTGAAGTCAGTGATGATGATGATGATGTTTGACTGTTTCTGTCCAATTGCGTATAAATATCTGAAAATAAAAGAAAGAAAAGTGTAAATAATTTGAGTTAATTAACTTGTGTTAATATTAAGATAATGAATGAATCATGGTATTATTAGTAGTGGTATTACAAAAGTGGTGGTAATAAAAACAAATAAGGAATATTTGACGCAGCGTAGGAAAACAGAGTCGGGATATATCGACACGTTTAGCCGATCTAATTGAAAGCAAACACGACGAGAGAGAAATTCCAATTTCTGGATTCTTCCTCTCTCCATCCCTCCCCTTTCTACTCTATTAGACCAAACAGCGAGTTTCGGTAATTGATATTATTTCATCCTCTTCCCTCTCAAAACGGTTAATACCCAACTCTTGTCACGTCTGCTGTTATTATCTTTTAATTGTTGTTCTACATGATATTGTACGCCGACGACGACACTTCCTGTATACGAATTGTCGAGAAGGAGCGAGAAAATTGATGACGAAACGCGTTTTGGGTTAATTAAACTTCGAGAAACACCGAAATACCAAACCCTATAAGCTTAGTACCACTTCTCTCAAAATAACACTTGAAAAGATAAAGCGAAATAAAAAGCTTAAAACCTACAATAGAATTGTTGTGTTTTGTTGCGAAAAAGTCGCAAATTTTTAATGTATCCAGATCCTCATTAGTATCGAACCCGAGGGCGTACTCCACGTTTTAAAGACCACTGGCCAAAGGTATTGCCTGAGGTTCTCAAAACGTAGGCTTGAAGGATTCGGTCCTGTTTCCGCTTCTAATTGGGCTTCGAATAATGAATAAGTGAAACAAGTGACCGTCGGCTATCACTAATGGCCGACGCCGACGCCGCCATCGCCGGAAGCGCCCTCTATAATTAAAAGAACGCCAGAACCCCCTCTGCCCCAACTTATTAACTACAAGGAAAAGTGGGGGCGCGCTACGGATCGGAGGAGATGTTCCTTTGTGTGCGTGTACAGGTGTTGTGTACACGGATATATTTATAGTCACGATCTATATTGCTAATTAACCGTTCTCTTTTTTTTGTACTTGTGGTGTACGGTTTGAGAGAGTCGAGAGTTCGCTGGCTGGCTGGTTGGTCGGATGGCTTGTAATTATCTGCAGGTGTCTGCGACCTCCGTTCTACCTTTTTCCGTCCGTCTCTTTCTCATTATCTACCTTGTTAAAAATTTGCAACAGCAAAGAAGAGAAATCATGTTTAGGTTCATTTTAAACATCGTTAAGTAGATTTTGCAGATTTAAAAAATTTATATCACATTTTGTAATTCTTACAAAATCAGATCTTAAAAACTTTTTGATGAATCATCTAGTTGAAAGAACCACTTTCTACGGAAGCGGTGTTCTCTATTAAATTAATCTTAATGGCCTATTTTGACGTAATTTTATATACATAATGGTCAACATCAACTCTACTGTCAAAAAGAAACAAAGACCAGTATTATTAGACATACAATTTTTTAACATAATAATTTAATATGAACTTAGATGAATTGTAAATAGAAAGTCTAAAAAACAAAACAAAAATAGACTTAAGTTTTGTTACTTAATTAATTGGCGCAATTTCACAGCAATGCATGCTTTAAGCACAGTGGAATATCGCATCGGATACAGTTGTAAAATATCCTACAGTCCTTGTTCCTTGGACAAATAGAACATTAACTAGGCACTTGTTCTGTGTCATTTAGACTGAGGTTCATAACATATTGCATCTAATTCTCGTGTAGACTTCTGCGTAAATTAAGGTTTTGTGTTCGCCGATTTCGGAATTCACCAAGTACTTTCAAAAATAAAGGCCGTTTCAAGTTAAGATTTTGCGTATTGGCTTTATATGTAACTTAAATAAACTTCTGCTGTATTCAATAATGTAAAAAAACAAAATTAAAGGCCAACAACGGCTGTTTCTTTCAAGATGTTAACTAGCAATTTTGTCACCAGATTCTTCAACTATAGCATCATCCTCCTGTAAAGTAAAAAACAGATATCATTGAACTGCGAACAGCTCTATTTTGAATATTTAGAAAATCACATGATATTTGCCGTTTATTTTGCTGTGTGAGTAGGGTGATAATTGGTAGATAACTGGTAAACCCAATATCGAATGCAACATTGTGTTGTGTTCCAGAGAGTGGCTCAATCAAACCTTTAACTCTACTTTCTGGTTTGTACTTTTTGGAAAGTTCCTACTGGCTGTATTCCAAAGTAAACTTCCATGTTCAGACAATAATAAGTTTTTGCGTCAACAAGAGCGAATACCACATGTCCTGTGAATGCCTCTAATTAGTACCTATTTGCCAACCTCTTTGAGTTGCGCTTTATATTCTATATTGTCAAATTGCAGAGTTTGTAGCAGCAAAAATTTGTTGTGACTATGATATGAAACAAATCTATGCCACTATCATTACTATTCAAATCAATTCTAAAGATTAGAAGTATTTTTGCCAATTTGCATTATTCAGTGGGTCCGTAAAGTAGCGGATATAGGCGATAAAATCATAATAAACGGTTTATGAAAAAATCCCTAAAACGGGTCTAAAGGTTTAAATTTTTGTATGAGGTGACAAAAATAGTAATAGCCATGGCTAACAGTCAGTAAACAGGATTCTTAGTTTTAATTCATCCAAAGTAGTAGTGTAAACTTTACCCCAAAGGAAGATTTAGATATTTAGATATGAGTGAGTCAAATCAGATGATCTTGCAAGCCACTCAATTAGCCACTTATTACATTGAGTGGACAAGTAAACAGGCAAAATTGTCGATATTAGGCTACCTAAAATCCACATTGGGCAAGAGAATTGCACACTCAATATCCGCAGAAAATTAACGTATGGTGCGGAATAGTACAGGATATTACAGGATATATATTATTAGGCCCTTACTTTTTTTAGGGAACCTTAACTGGAGAGAGATATTTAGATTTTCTATAAAACGATCTCATTCCTTCCACAACGGCCAAATTTCCCCATAATGTTGACCCAACTCGATTTCAACGGCAGTTGTTCTTCCAACAAGATGGCGCGCCACCACACTTTGCAGTTCTTGTTCGAGCATATTTAAATCAATTATTTTCCAATCGATGGATTGGAAGAAGAGGATCATTCTTCCAATTTTTCCACTCAATGTAAATGTTGCCTCATCGGAAAAAAATATGTTTTTGACAAAGTCTTCGTCGTCGTTACAAAATTGTTGCAACTGCTCACAAAATTGCGTTCTCATATCAAAATCATCTTCATTGAGCTCATGAATGAGGTTTACCTTATAGGGATGGTATTTAGTGGTTTTTAATATTTTGTGAATCGTTGTTTTACTATTGGGCCAGATTCGACCCAACCGTAACATGAGAGTTCTCTCGCCCAGCCATAACAACGTTTTGTTGAACCTCGTCTAAAACATTTGGCCGACCAGACTTCGAGAAATCTCATACATGCCCATGATTTTTAAAAATAGTGAAAATTCGGTTTATAGTTTTTTGGCTAATGGGTGGGTAGGATATGTTACATTGAAAGATCAGTTACTTCTTTTTGAGTTCTAGTTCGATCCCCAACTTTAATCATACACAGAATTTCGGTGTATGCTCGGTTAAATTTATCATTTTAATAAATTAACAGCGAAAACAAATAAAAGTAATAAACAAAAATTAACCCAAAAGTGATGTAAGAATAGTTTAAATAATTGCTTAAGAAACAACAAGCTTTACTGAATCAGTTTTTGACACTTAGAGAACTGTTTAAAATAATTGGTAACCATAGACACACTGCATAAGTCTGTCGAGCATAGTAAGTCAAAAACACTGCTTTGATTTCGTTTCTATAAATCTCCTTAACCAAATATTGATGATTTACATCATACTCAAGGGTTTTAGTTGCTATCTTCTGTGAAGAATGGCAGCCCACAATCAAGAGCGGTATTCTTGTATAGTACGATTCCCTACACACCAGACAAATAAATTGTTATATTCTCTGTTCTTATTCCTTCATTTTTATTCTTTTAAATCTTTGGCTATTTTAATATAGTATAATCCTTCTCTTGATATTTCTTCTCTATGTTCAGTTTCTTCTCCTGCAATTTCGTCCACCTTCCTCTTTGGATTCATTATCTATAAAACTATGCTAGTTAGTTATAAACTTCTTCTTTCTGTTTCCCAACATGATGGCCTCGAATCCATCTTCTAAAGGTTTCCTTTTCCCCAGCAAAACCTTTGAGCTGCTACATAGTCTTCCCTTGGCTGGCCGCAATTTGTGTCATCCTTTCGATCGGCTGCATATTGAGCTCTTCTTGAATACAGCTGTTCTGTACTCTGTCCCGTAGTGTCTCTCCTGCAAGAATCTCTGGAATCATTTCATTTTTACCGCATTATCCATACTGATGTCCCTTCTATTTGCGGTCATGTTTTCACGGCCATAGATAAGTATATGTGGAGCATATACCACATATGAATTGATTTATTAAGTTTTTGTTACAATATAATATTATATTGTATTACATACTTTGATTACTAAAAATAACGAGTATTTCGTTCGTTGAATTGTTACAGCAATGTTGTTATTTAGAAAATATAAATAATTAATTGTTTTTTATAATCATGGTAACATGTAACTTCTATTTTATTCTATGTATTTTATTTCGCGAGTATTTGCAGCTTTTTTTTATTACCGTTTTTCTCATTCCAACCTCGATAATAATAAAAAAATAATAATAATAAGTAACTTAGATACTAAAAAAGGTAATTTGATAATACATATACAATACTCTATTATCTAAAATGCTAGCTACAACTATGACGCTCAATGGTTCAATGGCCGCTTTATAAACCCTTGTGTTGGGCCTCCGGTTTAGTAAATGATGATAAATACATCATCTGCATATATCAGAGCCTGGCACATGATCGATCTGGGGTTACCTCTTAAGTGCACGTAATATATTGTAAGTCCAATATGCTTCAGTTGTTAAAACACATATTACAATAAATGCCTTGGTGTCTATCGCAATTGGACGTTAGCTAGTTGTACAATAC